AACAGTACACAGATCGGGAGGAGAGAAGATGCTGAGAGGAGAGGAGGAGAGAGAGACAACAGAATCAGAATCGCAACAGACACCGAGCGAACGGCGAAGCCGTAGGAGAAGGACCGAAACGCTCTATTAGTCGAGAGAAGAGATGCTGAGGTAGAGAGAGAGGAGAGAGAGCGTGAGACGATGGGCAAGGAGGAACGGAGAGTAGCAGAGAGAGAGAGGCAGAGAGAGACGAAGATGAGAAGGAGATGAAGAAGGAGAGGAGAGGCGAGAGAGAGGAGAGTACAGAGAGGAGAGAGCGAAGAGAGAGAGATAGAGACGACTGGAGGCTGAAGAGACATACAGCAGAGAGACGGAGATGAGAGAGAGAGAGATGACGAGGAGAACGAGAGAGATGAGAGAGAGATGGAGATGGAGGAGGAGGAGGGACAGAGAGAGGAGAGAGAGGAGAAGAGACCGAGAGAGGAGAAAGAGGAAGAGAAGAGAGAGGAGACGAGAGGGAGAGAGAAGATAGAAATTACGAGAGAAGAGAGAGAGCGAGAGAAGAGAAGATGAGAGAAGAATAGAGAGAGAGAGTAGGAGTGAGAGAGAGAAGAGAGATGAGAGAGAAGAGAAGAGAGAGACGAGAGAGAGAGAAGAGAGAGCAGAGAGAAGAGAGAGAAGAAGAAAACAGAAGAGATGTGTCTGTACCAAATATAAATACTGAGAAATAAATAATATCACATTAAAGCTTTGAGAATATGACAACTGCAGATGGAGGCATTTGACCAAATAGCTTACAAATTGATAAACATTCTGATTATAACAGAAACCACCCTCTCTTTGATAAGCCTAAGGACTATACTCTTACAAAAGCATAGCGGAAACTGAGGGAAAATTGCCACATAAATTACAAGTAGTCTATAATTTTAACTTGCCAACTTCGATTTCACTTTTCAAAGTCAGACTGTACTATTTATCGCCTTTGAATCGTGAACTTAGGAAGGCGAAATCAGAGCCTCGAGCTGGCAGTGGTCACGGAAAAAAGAACTCGGTTTTCTCACCTGATTTTGACCTCAGCTTGTATTTTCTCTATCTCCTGTTGCAAGTCGGAATTCTGCGACGAAAGGGTCCAACAATTGAAGGCTAATATGAGCACAACGAGCAAAAGGCCCACCAAAATGAATGGGGGAGTTCGCCCCGTGCCTCTTCGGAGCATTTTCGCTGCCACACAACCACGTCGTGCGATTCCGTTCACTTGGCTTCACCTGCTATCCACTATTTTCTTTCACCTTACTTTTGGTCTTAAGCGTATATCTCTTTATATCATTCGGTCAGATGTAATTTTTATGCAATAAAATAGTCACAGAAGGTTAAATACTGGGTAGAAGCGCTTGACCTTTCAAGAAAGGTGATACGTAGGTAAGTCTATGTCACCCGCAATTGATATCTTCGGACGAGTGTACACAGATGACAACACAGGTGTCTGTCAGAAGAATAGTTACATCGCTCTTTCTCGTTATCTATGCGTTTTTTAATAAGACTAAGATACTAACCACCCTGAAATATAATTGATGTGCATCAATCTTTTATAATTTATTGCTAGAGATAATGAAAGCGAGCTGACAAACGGCAATATACAAGCAAAAAATATATTTAGCTCTAGAGCACCAGTGTTACTATTGACACGGTATTCGATAAACCGAAAAACCCTCATTTGATTAAAGAGCATATCAATTTGAATTAAATATACGAAAGTGCCACATGACATTATATATTTATCCAATACATTTCACAGAAGGAAAGAGATCGACATGATGTACGGTCGTATTATTTATGCATTTCGGTCTGCCGGTCACTGGAAATTCGAGAATTAATTACAGTTCATATATCGATACTGCAAACTTATTACAAAAGGACTCATATCATCACATATCGTGATTGTTATATTTGATACTAGTAACAATATCAATAAGAATACTCATTAAATTGTCATGATCGTAATTACATGGGCATGATAATAATAATAATAATAACAATAATGATAATAACAATAATAATAATAATAAATAAAATAATAATAATAATAATATATATAATAATATAATAATAATAATAATAATAATAATAATAATAATAATAATAATAATAATAATAATAACAATACATAATATATCTGATAGTGATAATAATAATAATAATGATAATGGTAATGACAATAATTACATTATTATTTATAATAATAACAGTGATTAATGGTAAAATAATAAAATAATGATGATGATTGATGATGATTGATGATGATGATGATGATGATGATGATGATGATGTATGATGGATGATGAATGATGATGATGATGTAATATAAATAATAATAATGAAAAAAATAATAACAATAATTAAAAGGATAACAATAGTGAAATAATAATGACAATTTAATAATAATGATGATTGATGATGATAAATAACATATAACATAAATAATAATAACAATGATAATAATGAAAATAATTAAAAAATGATTAATAATGATATTGATAACACATAATATGATGATGATAAACAACTAGGCTAATAATAATAATGATAAAGATAATTATGTTAATGATAATGAATATCTTAATAACAACGATAGTAACAATATATAATGATGATGATAACAATGATAATATTGATTATAGTAGTAATAATAATGATAATAATGGTAATGATAATGATGACGATAATAATAATAATGGCAATAATCATGATGGTAATTATAATAGTAATAGTGATAATAATGATGAAAAAACAACAGTAATGATGAAAATCAAATGATATTAATGATAATGATATTAATGATAATAGTAATAATAACAATAACAACAATAATATAACTGATATTTCCATGATCATTATTACTAAATACATATATGCATATGTATACATCTATCTATCTATCTATATACATACATATATATATATTATTATATATATTATATATAATATATATATATATATTATATAATAATATGTATATAGAATAGATAAATGAATAAATAAATACACACATTTATACATATGTACATGCACACACACAGTGATCCTCGACAACACAAGTATATTCACATATATCATTAGTATAATAGTACATATACATGTATATATATATATATATATATAATACATATAGTATATATATATATATTATATATATATGCACACCCATGCATATATTCATATATATGGATGTATACATACATACATATATATACATACATACAAACACACATGTGTATGTGCGTATGTATACGTACGCATGATACGTGTGTGAGTGTGGTGTGGTGTGTGTGTGTGTGGTGTGTGTGTGTGTGTGTGTGTGTGTGTGGTGTTGTGTGTGTGTGTGTGTGTGTGGTGTGTGTGTGTGTGTGTGTGTGTGTGGTGTTGTGTTATGGCTGAAGCTGAAGATTCATTACACACAAAAATGAGTTAGCTGAAAATAAGTTAAACAGTTTCGAGCACCTCATGAATTTCATCTTCAGGCCAGAAGAGCAGAGCGATTGCGCACGAAGAGGGGAGGAGAAGCGGCAGTGAGCAGTCAATCAAATGGAAAACCGAGGCAGGCCAGGGCAGTCGAAAGGTGGGGGAAGAAAGAGACTGTTTGCGGGATAGAAAAATAAATAGATAGATAAATAAATAGATAAAATAGAAATAAAAAAATAAAAAACGCTGCTAAGGGTAACATTGGACATTGGATCAGCTTGTTTAGCGTGACAAAAGAGGGCGCTGCCAAGTGTTCTCCCTTCGATATAGCGAAACTGAGGAGCGCTACACGTATGATGGAACAAGCACCGGTCGTACCAGTCTTGGTTTATCGCAGGAGGCACAAGAAATGGCGCAGGGAACATCTTCGAGAGGGATGAATACTGTGGATCGCGATGAGGCGGATGTTAGCTTGGGGAAAGGGGTGGAGTGGCTGTTGAGAGTGAAGGGGGTGACGAGGAAAATGCCCTTCCTCAGTGTAAAGGAGGCTAAGAGAGGCAGGGCAGGAGTTTGTCTAGGAGGAGAGTCGTGGCAGAAGACATGAACGTGAACTGGCTGTTGAGAGTGAAGGGAATGTCGAGGAAAATACATTTCCTCAGTGTAGGGGAGGCTTAGAAAGGCAAGGCAGGAGTTTGTCTTGGAGGAGAGTCGTGGGCAGAAGGCAAGATGTCTCCTGGGTAGCGAGGTGTCGAGAATATGGCGAGAATAGGCCAGCTTGCTTTAGGACCGACGCAAGAAATCGATCTGTCCATCCTCATGCTGGGGGACCCCGATGCGGGTGGCGCGAGGGAACACAGGCGGCTACTCCTCTGTTACGTGGAAGACGTAGAAGGAGAAGAAGCGCTTGTATTCCACTGTACATCGGTAAATTATGTTAACTGACATGGAGACTTGATCAGGAAAACGATATATCCAAGTGTCCAGGAAAGGGAGCTTGTCGTCGACCTTCCATCCTACATACAAACCACAACACACAACACCACACCACACACACACACACACACACACACACACACACACACACACACACACACACACACACACACACACACACATACCACACACAAACAAACACACACA